ATTTAAATACTACACATATTTTTATTCCTTTTTACTTTCTCATTTCTAAATATTTCTCATATGCATCCTCATCGCTCACAGTTTTACTTTTTTCTAACTTTTGCTCTTACGCTTTAGGGGACTTGTCCCAGAGCGTGTAATAAATAATAATTCTGATTCTCTCTTCTACCCGAATGATCGCGCAGTGACGTGGTCGTGACTTTTAGATGCCTGGCGACACGAAACGTGTCCTCGAGACAGGACCTATTTTGACACCCCGATTACTCGGCAGGTGTGAAGAGACGGTCTGGTGGAATCGGACGTCTTGCCGTCCTCGGCAATAAAACGGTACGCCACTAAGAAAGATTCGCACGACAAAGAATATATCTGGTCGCGATGGCGCAAGAATTACTGGGAAACAGGAAATTGCATTTCGCGAATTCGTCGAGACGCTTCATAATGCGATGGCGCGCGGCATCAAGGATAATCAAATAGCAGCCTCATTCGATCGATACGGAAGGAGACGTTTCGTGCGAACAGACAGATTAACAGATAAATAGAAGGTTAATTTATAACGTCGTTGCGCGCATTAGCGACGGATAAATAACGCATCGGCAAAAACGCGCGAGGAACGTTTACGACTAGGAAGATATACGGCGTAAAAGATTGTTATAAAATTATTCAACAATAAATAACTGCGGTGCAGAAAACTTGGCGGATGATTTTGCGCGCGGAAATAAAAACGGCTGACATTAATATCGACCCCCCCCCCCCCCTCTGCGATGTGGCGTCGCGTTAAATGCACCATTACCGTGTCCTGTTATGCCTAATAAAAGAGAACCGTCTTCTCGAAACCGCGAGGAAACGCGTCTTCAGAATGATTAGTGTCAGAAAAGTGGATGAAGAGACGCGTGTGAGTAGAATGAATAGTACACGACGTGAGAAGGATCAAAAATTCATATAAAAAAAAGTCAGGACAGGAATTAACGTAGCTTTAAGAACGATTGAATGACGAATATCCTCGGATATTACGTTCGACAAGGCGTCAAGATGATTAAATGATCGAATTCTTCGACAGTGTCAGTCCGATAGACGTGATTAATGATTTACATGTGCACTCAGCGCTCTTTTTGATACTAGACATACGTTTCAAACCGATCGATCGCTTGTACCTATTAGAAATTTCCTGACGATGACTCTTATCGCTTGACAAATTTTGGTCGTTGACAAGACATGCGACATGCGTATTATTTTATCAGCGTCATAACTACTCTTTTCTTCTTTTAATCAATTATTAGAGTAGGACATTTCATTGTCATCCCGACTTCGCTAAATATAGATTGAGAAAGGTAGTAAAACCTATTTACGCATATGCATCTTTAAATACTTATCATGACGAAAAGATACAACTTGCTTTAGGTAATTGAATATCTTTTACGTCAATGATTTTTATTACATTTATGAATTTTGAAACCTTGCCTGTGAAAGCCACAACGTTAGAAACTGTCTTAATATATTTAATAATTTAAATTTAAAAAATATTACGATATAGCATCTACATATTTTTAAAGATTGAAAAAAATTGTCGCGAAAAAAAATTTTGTGACTCTTATTTATCTGTTACCTTAATTGCAAAGGTTCTTGTTCCAGAACAAACTAAATTTCTACTATTTTCGGCGATCAATCGAAAAATGCAAATCGCGGTGTGCGCGCATCTATGAAGAACATTGAGAAGCGCGCGATAAAATTAGCGAATTTTAATCGAGCTTGGAGCAGCCACGTGTGACGTATATCGTTTCCCCCATTTTTACTCGGCGCGCGCCGAGGCTGGTCTCGCGGGATATCTGAATTGGGTCCGACAGGAAATGCCCGCGGGATAGACATCGAGTGTCTCGCCTCAGTCAACAAGCGGCAAGTCTTATCCACTCGGCATTTTACAGTCTCGAAGTTACGAGTTTGAACGCGGGTATATGCGAGCGAACATCTCACATTGGTGTAGACGCGCGTCGATATGAACATGCCCGTCGATATTGCGCGCGCATTTCTCGTGAATTCCCTCGCATCGCCGTCGAGGAGGCCCTGTGAAGGGCATCGAAATGCGGAAACGCAACTCTCGAGCAGCGACTACCGTTGAAACCCTCGCCGGTGCGGCTCGCGAGAGGGGAATCCCGTGCTAACGATAACTCGCGGCCCGCCTCGCGTTATTAAATGCGTAATGATAATAATTGTAAACGCCGCACGAATCATTGCGTTATTTAATATCGCGTATAACAGGGTCCCGGTGCCGTAATAGCGCGGCGAATTAAAGGGTCGGCTAAATGCCCGGAATCGAGATGAGAATAAAAGTGCTCGTTAAATTAAAAGCAGCCACCCGCATTGCGCAATTTATTATTGGGCCGCGGCGTGAGCGTCCGGATGATTGCATCGCATTATTGAGATCGACACATTTCTCGAGGAGAAAAATTGCACGTTCAGAATGGCAATTAATTTGCAAATTGCAATAATTAGAGTTACTGTGTTTTCGACAACGAAGAGACGCGTTTGATTATTTGAAAAGGTTTCGGAATGATTTACAGATGGCCGTCGCACACGGACGTTTAAATAAAAAATTACTCCTTGCTACGACACGTAAAGCCTCAATTTGATCCACCAAATAGATTCGTGTTTGCGTAGGAAAACGTTCTACAGTTATATGTACTGTATGCATTTATCTATTTTTTACTTGCTCGACTCATTGCTTTACTTATTTGTCCTGTTTAGAAGCGATATAATGTTATCATAACGACCTAGAATTTTCGTAGACCAACAAGTCGAAATGTGATGGCGAGAAACAGCGGATATACAGGTATATGTGTATACCGTGTGTCGGTCGTCCGAACGTGTACAATACGAATCGCGGGCCTTAATAAATCCTAACAATCAACTAATTGATTGTGGAAGAAATTGACTTAATTACCATCAAATCCCTGAGAAAACCTCCACATTTGTAGATCCTTGGACGAACATATCTGCATAATTTTTGAAAAATAAATGAACTCAAGGTGTCCCTGTGATTGTCCACGAATTAAGATGCGATTTCTCGTTGCAGCCTCCTTATTCACTTGACTTCGCTTCTGTCGGACCTTGCATCTATTCCCACAGTTTACACCCAGTTAAAAAAGATTGTTTGAATGTTTGTTTTGACCTTATTAGACTTTAATTTAATTTCAAAGAAACCTTTTCGTCACTTTAACCAAAATTTTATTTGATTGAGACTACAATTTCTAAGAGAATTCATACTTATTTCTTCAAATTTGGCAAATGTTTTAGTAGAAATAAATGAAAATTTAGTAGATTCAAAGAAATGTGATTTCAACGTATCTCATTTGTTAAACCTAACTAAATTTTTTTCTGAGTGTGAAGAAATTTCTTGCTGGGAAGAGATTTATCTTTTTTTTCTATATCACTCGATAAATCGGAGGTACGTGATGGACAATGACTTTGGAACTCATCGATATGTCAGGAAATTATGTTGAAAAATAAAAATGATATGAAGCCAGCCGTTTTGTATTCCGAGAACATTTCAAGTGGTTCTCGTACTTTGGAGTGGTTTAATTAGAAATCGCGCGTGTTTCCACGATCGAGTGACTCGTAAATTCAATAGTAATTATCCTGCGCGACGGAAAGCACGAATCGTCTGTTCCCTCGCTGGACATATGCGAAAACATGCTCGCAATATGTACGAAGCGTTATTTGAGAGCTCTAGCGCGGGGAAGGCCATTTTGTTCGCGAGAATATTGACAGAGATCTCGTGTCGGAAGGGGGCTCGCGCGCTGCAAACACGATTTTGCGAACTTGCACGTTTCGCGTTGCACATTTTATGTTGCCAGACGTATTGCGTTCTGGTCTAACTTGGAGAAGTATCTTTTGCAAATACTCGCGAAGCTGCGGAGGCCGTGCATAAATTAAACAGGTATTAATACCGCCGGCTGGCCCGTTGCCGTCCGGAGTCTGGTTGTCCGGGATTCAAAGCGTTCGGCGTGCAACACGGAGGCGGCATAGCTTCGATGAAACCGATACGTCACAATTTCGAAACCGTATTTAGATAATCGGGATATTTGTGCTGCTCATAAGACACAAGGTGCCATATGCGTTTCGCCGTAAAATCGCGAATAATAACACGCCGATGAAGAAACTTCGATGTACCAGCGAAGGAGGTCGCGTTCTAAAACAGACGAAAACTTTCCTTTAAGACAAATCTCTACGGACGGGTCATGTCGCAAAACGTGAATTCCGGCCGTGATCTCTCCTCGAGGATCGCGGCACGTCGGGGAAGATCCTCGTGGCGACGCGGATATTCATAAATTATCGGGATCTACGCGCGCGCGCGCGGAACATTACGCGCCGACCGGGAAACCACCTCGATTTCGAGGAGTATAACGTAATTAGCAATAAAACTTCCGCGTGCGAGAAGTACACGCTTCCTGGTACATCAAGCTCGCTTGTTTCGCTCGCCGTCTCCGACGGAGTCCTTCTCTTCGCGCGCGCGCGCCCGCAAAACGGTGCTCCGGCTGACCCGGTCAAACGACCCTAGGGGGAGAAACCTTACGATCGATATACTCGCGTGTTTATTGCTGAACTTTTAAGAAAATTTATTGTCAGGCGTGTTCGACGTCCCCGTCTACGGGAGCCGCGTCATTCTTCGCGTCGCGTCGCGTCGCCCCGCGTCGGCGCGAAACCATCGGGGAAACGTGTTTTGCGTAGTATATCAAGGCGGACAAATTTATCGCTAGATAAATAACATCGCGGATACGATGATACGCGGCCCGTGCGGCGCGTTATAATATTATATGCACGCGTCCGATACGCGGCGCGCGATACGTGGAATGTAAAAGACGCGCGAGACGAAAGTAATCGAATACCATCTCGCGTCTGTAGGAACGCGGCGGAGAGATCGAGGGGGGGGGGGATCGATGAGCGTGGAGGGATATTTAATGAACGGCGATCACAAGGTGTCGCACACGTACACACACACGCACACGTTCAGGTATATAATATTCTTTATTTCATTTCGTACTCTTCGACTCGAACACTCGAACGGCGCCCGCGCTTCGTGCGATCGTCCGATCGTGGCTACCGCGTGCCTCCCTTTTCTTTCTTCCTTTTTTTTGTACTTGAGCGCAACTGCGGAACCCACCGCGGACGATCGGCACGTTTCGGAACGATTTCCCCCGCGCTCGGGCTTGATACGATCCCTGTTCGTCCGACAGGACTCTCGAGAAATATACATAAGTTACGTACTAAGAGCACTTGGAATTCGCAGAATCACAAATTTATCCGGCGCCCGGATCGCCGTCCGATCTCTCGCATCAGTGTCGATTTCTTTTCTCTCTCTCTCGTTTTTTTTCTCTTGGCGAATCGACGCGAGTGCTCGGATCGAACGGAATCCGGACGTCTCGAACGCTCGCCGAACGATCTCGTCGGCGCAATAGTTGTACGCGCGAAGCACTCACTGGCCATCCCGCCGTGCGTCGTCGCCACGACACGGCAAACACGGTTACATATCGTTCTAACGTTTAAACTATCACCGGCGGTTCCCCGTTTTCACCGCCGTATTTTTTAAGGCACCGCTTTTCGAGAGCTGGCGCGCTAACGATACACGCGATTCCGCGATTCGTGCGGCTCGTCATTTCCCTCGACGGAAATTGGCCGGCTCGCCGAACGTGAACCCCCCTCCGTCCGCACGATTCGCCGTTGCGTTCGCTCGCACAGCGCAGCCCCCTGTACACGAACGACCGCGAACGAATTGATTCACGCCCTCTCGGCCTCGTCGAGTCGGCGCGAATTCGACGAATGTACCACGTCCAATATCCACGAGACCCGGTACGAACAGCCGGAATCGCGAGTCGCGCATAGTCCGAGTGCCCAGCCTCGCTAAAGGCACGATGCGTTTCTCCGACGAGAGGGAATGTATCGATATCCTCACGGGCGCTCCGTCAGTGTGCACCTGCCGTCGGGGCACGACCGGGCGGCAAAAGGGACTCGTGTGTCGGCTGATACCGAGCGGCTTGAGCAATTTTCATCGATCGGACGATCGCCGATCGTAAAGCCGTTTGTGCCGGCTGCACTACGCGCGGCGGCACCTTCTTCCTCCTCAGCGCAGGCCGACCGCGCTCTCTCCCCCTCTCCTTCTGCTTTTCCCTCACGTGTCGTTCCAACGTAATCGTATTCGGCTACTCCTCTTTCTCCCTCCCCCGCCCCTCCCTCTCCCACGGAGTCGCCTTCTCCGTTTCTTGCGCCGGAGCACCTTTGACACTCGCGCCGTGCTTCTCGCTCGCCGCGGTTATTACGATGTAACTGTACCTTCTTCCACCCTCTCCGCTTCTCGTGTGATTCGCGCGTTCTTCTCCATTCTCTCCTTCACCTTTCGTACCTTTCCTTGCCGTCCTCCTCCTCCTCCTTCTCCTTCTCCTCCTCCTCCCACTCCTTCTTCTTCTCATCTTACGCTACTTTCCCAGCCATCCGTCCTTCCTCTCGACATCGTCCTCCCGTTTTCCTCTTCTTCCGCCGCGGGGAGGGGCTTCGAGCGTGTCGCCTTCTTTTTCAACAGATTGCTCGGCGACACCGCTCCGCTTATCCACGCGGACTCGGAGCGACACCAATGATCTTTCCCGATCGAATCGAGTTCTCGTTGAGCACTTCTAGCGAGCACCATTTGATATCCGAGGTCATGTCTTCCGGGTGAGGTCCAGGGGCGGCCCGGTGTCCTGCTGAAGCTCATTTTCCTCGCTGTTGCTCGACTTTTCCTCCTCTTCCTCTTCCATGCTACCAGCGTCCACCTCCTGCCCATCCGTCCGTGTGTCCTTCATGCTGAGGTCCATCGGCTCCTCTTGCTCCGGCCCGAGAGACCGCAAAAACGTGAGATTCTTGTCATACGCGACCTCTATCGAACCTGCCCTCGGACACCGGTCTCGCTCGGACGTGGTCTCGCGGTCGACCTCGCGGCACTCGCGATTCTCCTCGCTTCTCTTGGTCGGCGACGGAGTCGATCGCGGGCTGACGCTCTCGCTGGACGAGCTCGACAGGCTGGTCGCCATCTGCGGCGGGCCCACTTGGTTCACGTAAGGTACGATGAAACGCTGCTGGAACGGGAAGAACGGCGCGTTCAGCAGCTGCATGTGCGTGAGCGCTGGATGAAAGAGCGGCGGGCCCCGCCACATGGGGAACCTCGAAACTTCGGGCCTGAGCATCTCGTGCGGGGTCCTCGGGAGATCGGCCGGCCTCAGGATCGCTTCCTGGCTGCTTCTCGGCGGGACGTCGGGTGACCTCAGTTGCACCGGAATATCCGCTGGCCTGAGCGCACCGTCCTCCCTCTTGGGCAACCGATCCGGATGATGATGGTGGTGCAGGTGATGATGGTAACTGTTGGCCGTAGTGGTCGCCGTCGTGACGATGCCGACGATGCTGCTGGCGCTGGTGTTACTGGTGTTCTCGGTATTATTATTATTGTTGTTATTCGCGGCGTCTAACGAGCCGAACGCCTTCTCGTACGCGGACTTGGGGTCCTTGATCAGACGATTTTGCGCCTGCTGGGACTGTTCCTGCAGTAGGCAGTGTATCTTGAACCAATTGGAGCGCCGGCCGTAACGCGAGCCGGACTTGGACATGCCCACCATCAGGCATTTCCGCAGGCGGCATGCCTTGCAGGCGGTACGATTCTTCTTGTTGATCACGCAGACGCCGCCGTTCTTGCATTCGGAAATGCTACCCAGATTGTTGTAGGTGCGCCCGAAGAAAGACTGTGCAACAGAAAGCGAAATAGGCGCGCGTTGGTCAGTCGCAATCGATTTGCATTTTCGCTTTGTTAGGAGACCAGGCGTACAGGGAGGGTAAAGTGTCTAGCTACCTATTAGCAAAGCTCAATTGTCAGCGGTCGAAAGTCCGCGCGTTTCAGTTAGAAGCGCGAGGCACAATTAAGCCTTTCAACAACAGTACGCAGATCCGTTCCGCGAGTTTCGCGTAACAATTTTTAATTTGACAATGAATCGCCGCCGTCGGATTTTATCGAGACGCATCGTCGCTGAATGACGACGATAAGAAAAAAAGACATGATAAAAAGTCGCATCTCCGACACCTATTGCTCTTCGTCCCAACGCGATTCTACGCGAATCTTCCTGTAACTTTCGGTGCAAGTGTCTCGCGTCGCGAGAAACGTAACGCGATTTCGAGTCCTCTCTTTCTCTTTCTTTTTTTAATTCTTTTCTTGATTTTGTTACCAGAGAATAATGATACGGATGAATAGCCGTGGAAGAATGGCGACGCGAAGATACTGACCTTGCAGCCTTCGCACGTGAAGGCTCCGAAGTGAAAACCCGCGGCCGGCTCTCCGCAAACCCTGCAGAGCTGATTCATCTGCAACAAAAAGATGCGACATGTGGTTACGCTCGGGGCCTGAGGACGTTCAGAATGTGCCCGACGATCCCCGTGCCTGATCCCCGGTACAATATCTGTCAATCACGGAAGGGTTTCTCGATCTAATGCACGCTCTCGAAACGCAACATCGGAACAACGGAGAGCACTGTGATAGGATATGGAAGCTTCCTATTTCGATACAAAGTATCGCTGCGAAACCACGATCGAATAGAGACAAAGTAATTTAATTAATACGCTAAATCCAGTTTTTTCTTTTTTTTATTAAGTCAGTCTTTAATATCGAACACCTAAAATTACAAAACTGTATCCCTTCCAGTATTTTCTCTGTGTGTATAACTATAATTTCTCTTAAAAGCGATGTCTTCAACAATTTATTTGCGTGTGTAAAATATCGATAAATTATTAGTATCTTCAATACCGATTACAAGTTTTTGTCTGACTAAGCATTATGCTCTTTAAAAGTCAATCAGTGAATTATCGCAGAAAACGGGCTTAAGCCCGTATCGGACTACGAATTGAGATTGAAATTAGATTGTAATTTGACCAGTTAGAGTAAAAGTTACTAAACTTGAGATTAGTAAACTTTACTGTGATCGATCCAATTTCAATATAATCCCAATACGTAGTCTGATACGGGCTTAAAGGTCATCCAGGTATTCCAAGGATCCCCGATCTCACGTTAATCAAGAGAGACAGTAGTGTCTCGTGCCAAGTACAAGCGTAGCAAAGATTGCGCGCGCGAGACCGACCGTGTATCTTTACATCCTCGACTACAATCTGTTTTCGAACATTGCGACCGCGCGCGCATTGTGGTCGCAAATCGGCGCGAGCGCGCATCTGCGCCGCGTGAAGGATCCTCGACGGTGACGTCGCGCGGGAGAGAAGGACTCTTTCTCTCGCCTCGTTCGCGCGCTCCTCGCTGATCCGCGCTCGAACGAGGGGTCTATTCTCTCGCGGCGAGAAATCGCCTTCCTATTAAAACCTAGTTAGCCAGTCATTACTAGACCGCACAGCTCCCTCGCGGCTTGGACGCCGCCGGTCGCGAGAGAGGCGCGGAGAGAAGACAGAACATCGCGCGGGCAGAGAAGCGAGGATCCGACTCGCTCGCGGATCTGATTCTCATGCGCGAAAAGAGTCTGCTCAAAGTAACGGCCGTCGCGATCGTCTCTGTCGCAACGCGACGAGAAATTGATCGCTCGCGTTGCACGCGGGAATCGTCAGGGACGATCGGAACGCATTTGTGCGGAGATCCGCGCTCGCTCGAATTCCTCCTCGCCCGTCGCGGGCGTCGTGCGGCCGCACGCAACGTCGCCGTCTAGCGGCCATTTACGACTTTCGCAAGTAAATTTTACGATTCATTAATTATTTCGGTTTGTCGCGCGATTTGCACGGACGGTGGACGTTCAAGCATTTAACGACGATTTCCTGGATCCCGTTTCAAGACACGCGCGTAACACGGGACCACGGCAGCTCGCACGAGTTTATCCGTCGGCTTTTAAGGCCGAATCAGACTACCAATTGCCGATTCGGATTGGATTAGGATTGGCCATTGACGATTGTCCTCTAGCCAATGAGAGCAAAGCAGCCAGCAATTTAATCGACTCTCATTGGCTCAGTCGCTAATCCCAATCCAAGTCTATATAAAGGCCGAACCAGACTAGCAATTGTCAACGCAGATTGGATTGGGATTGGGACTGGCGATTGACGATTGTCCTCTAGCCAATGAGAGCAAAGCAGTCAGCCATTTAATTGATTCTCATTGGGTAGAAGACAATCGCCAATCCCAATCCGCGTCGACAATTGCTAGTCTGGTTCGGCCTTTAGGCACCGCACGCGGAATCGATTTGATTACAAACGATTACGCGAGCGGGCATTACGCTCGGTAGTGAGGTTTTCGCGCGACCTAAATCGGGGAAAGGCGGGCATTTTGACGTAACTACTCCAATATATTACCGCAACATCAATGGTGATAATAAACACTGGGCGGTATCGCGCGGAAATCCGAGCGTTCGTCTTTTCTTTTCACGCGTTTCGCAATTTCGAAAATCAACCGCCGCCGCCGCCGTATGAAGGGATTCCCCGACGATCCTGACGAAACGCTGAAACGCGGAGCGGCGGTGGCGCGCGCAGGTATTCGAAAACGACTTTCGATCTCATTAACCTGGGAACGTATGCGCGGTACGGGGCTGATGACTTCTCGCGGAAATGACGGCGAGGAGCGGCGACGCGCGGGCCGAGGTAAGGAGGCAAAAAAGGTTAAACGTCCAACAGATGACGCGGCTATGTCACCACGGTTCTAATCCCCGCGGCCGCAGACCGCCGGTGCATCGACGGGACTAAATAACCGCTCTCCTCCCGGTCCGTGCCGCTTCTTCTCGCATTTTGCGGATAATCTACGTCATAGAACAGCGAGCATCCGTCTGAATCCTTTCCGTCGCCCACCCACGTCCCACACGGGAATCATCTCATTAAGTGCCGTCACGAGGTGACGTTCGATGAAGTGGAGAACGCGGCGATGTTGACGGCCTTTTTACATCGCGCACGCCACGTTTCTCTTTCGGGGTTCCCTCGGATTCCGTTATTCCAGGCCTCAGTTAGCGATTTAGAATAATCCGGCCCGTGTGAATACTAATCCAACCATCCAGCGAGTTGACGATGACGCGCGATAAACTCACGCGATTCCTACCCGTGTGCTTCCAACCCGATCAGTTCGCAAAAGATATCGCAATTTAATTGAACCGCGGTGAGACCCACAATTAAGCGTACTAAATGCCACAGAAATACCATATTTGAATAATAAGAAAGACCGTAATTCACAGTAAATGCCACGTGACAAGCAGATCTCTCTCGACGATCAACCTCGCGGCATTTTAACATGAATATTATAAATATTCAAATTTTCTTCTCTAAGTAAATACGCAGCCGATACGAAACGTACTATTAGAAAAGTGCTCTCATTAATATTACGCAATCGTACGAAAACGTGCACCCAATTGTTTTTGGGAACAAACAAGTTGCGTTCGCATATCGCAAATAGTTTGACGATACATCAAGATCTTCACCTCGTTCCTTCGATAAAAAAAGAACTTTTACGGGAGCATTGGGGAGAGAAAAAGCAGACTTACCACGTCGGTGTTGGCCGCTGCCGATGTGATCGTCGACGTAGGCGTCCACCACCCTGGGGTGGCGGATGTCGCGTTGGCGATAAAACCAACACCCGTCGCAACCGAGATGGATCCGCTCCCTACCGATCCCGACAGATCGCCCACATCCATTCGACACGTTTTAATCCCTCGGTGTCAGCCGTCCTGGCCTGTGACCCGACCTACCCTCTTTCCGCTTCATGTGGCGCGCCAACATTTTGTACACTTGTCGTGCGCCGCTTGTTCCTTGAAACGTTCACGCGACGCGTGACTTCCGGCCTGATAAGGAAGAAGAAAAAAACAAACAAATAATTCTCTCTCGATCACATTCAGCGTCGTTAACAATGACACGCTAGTCTGAATCTAAATTCCCTTTGATTAAGAGTCGAATATTTAATTGTCTATTGCCGTTGCTACATGTACCATGCATCTTCATCATCGTAATACTCTGTACAGATTCGGCGATTTATTCGCCAAATAATACACGAAACAAGACATTTGCGGTCACGAATGTCAGCCTCCCAGCAGCAGAACGCCCGAATGTATGCTAATGGCTATCTTGCGCTATCAAAGCGGCATTTTTACGAAAATGCGAATGGGCGCGTGGGGCAACGTATATCAGCGTGTTGTGCAATAATTATTCCAGAATACAAGAAACGAGGAGAGTGCGCCGAAACCGCGAGCGTCCTCCCCGGGACCCCGGGTCTCCGTATCGCCCGAGATAACACGTCGTGTTTACAACGGTGTAACACCATTACCAATGTTAACGCGGACCGCCCCGCGAGAGACGCATAAACACGAGAGCTAATTACCGAGGCTGCCACGTATTAATTTTCGAGCCGCGCGGGACCACGTGGGAACTCGGGACCGGCGCGCACTACTGATTACACCGATGTTTAATTTCGATTCGTCGGGGAGAAACTCGCGTCGGCCCCGCACAGCTCGGCACGGCGAAGCGTCGTAAATACATCGCGGAAGCCAACGCATTCGCCCGTTGCGTGAAATAATTCACAAAGTAAGTCCCCGTGCTCTCGTGGAATGATCGCAACGCGCTCGGGGATAACGATCGGTAGCCGGGAGAATTAATCCAGTTCCAAGACGCGCGATTTGAAAGTAAACGTTAATTGAGGATACCGAGATTTCCCTGGTCGATCACAAAGCCACGATTGAGAACGCGGTAATTGGCGCCGCTGCGCCGAGTTAATCTACGCGAACACGGAGTAATATTGGCATATACTTGCGACACGATCGCGTTATATATGCGGGAATGTATAGCAGTGAAGATTATACGCGAGATTTCTAGTATTCATGGATTATAATTGAAGCACGCGGGTTGCGTTAAGTTCTAACAAATTTATTAAGTTTCTTAATTTTTTTACATTAACTGTAACGCGTTATAAGCCGCACATACACTAGAAATAATAGGCGTATTTACTTCAGAATATTGAGGTACATCAACGAATTCACAGCTGACGAAGCTTTCATCAAAATTCTTATATCGACCCGCGAGAATTCGAAACTAAAGCACGAATCTTAACACGACGTTACAACAAAACAGAGATTCTCCTTTTTTTGGCTTCCAGTAGTAATTCATGGCAAGAATTATGGCTTTTGGACATCCTATTAATTGCACATCCTATGGTCACTGTATCGATTCTATTTTTAAGCAATTGAAAGCATTTGGAAGCATTTTTGCACGGAATAGCTTGACTTTCGGATGTAATCGATAACATTTCGCTACTCAACTAAACGAAGATTATTTACATACTTCGTCAGTGCGGTTGATAACATATGATTACACTCACGCTTCTACATCTGGAGAATACGAAAACAATTACTGTGTGGCAATCGTCCAATCACAGCCAAATGTGAGAAGAATAATCGACTGTCATTGGCCGATTTCTTGCGACTTGCTGCGTCCATGATGCAAGAATACCACCAGGTGTAACATTCCCGTGGATGCGCACTCGAGACCAATCAGAAATTTGCCCCAAACCTTCAACCTGCAAATCATTGCGGTTGAATGCAGCAAGAACCAATGAACAATATGCCTCAAAAATTGGTTACATGCGCAATGTTTCACCTTATATTTTTACATCATGGCTGCGTCTATTGCAGAATCAGTCTGAACGATCGTTCTTGCGAGCGCGACGCTCCCGCAGCGTATATTGTTAAATGATCGATATCTTCGGTGGTCGAATTGTGAAACGCCCGCCTAGTGAGGTCCAGATTCAAACCCTGGCTGAGGTAATATTTTTTGCAATAAATTTAAGATAAGAATTATTTTGACACTTAGCATCCTGTCACGGCTCATCAGTCCTTATTCCTTCGAATTTGTGTTTATCACGCGAGGGCGTTATGAACTTTATTAATTTGTTAAAATCGATATAATTGGTTGCCTCCGCGACAAAGAGGTGGCACGTCGCGGCCGCAGCCGCACGACACTGCGGCCATCGATAAATTTTATTGCGCGCCTCTCATCTTTCCTCGACTGACTAATGACAAATTAATTAACAGCCGTACATGCCCGCGGAAGACCGGTTCCGTTGAATACATCGTCGCCTCACTGCGCTCCGGCTCCGATAAATCCTTGTTTTCACGGATTAACGCGTGCGCGCGGCGAGCCGCGCGGTAGCGCAATTGTAACGCGGCGATAAACACGATCGTTTCGCGCGAGAGCTTACAGCGACGATGACGGCAATGACGATGGCGGGACTGGTCATCGTCGGTGCCATCAGGATTTTTCCTATTTGCGTTTTTGAGCCGCGTTCACGAGCGTTTATTTCATTAGCCTGCGCCGAAGGACGCCGTTCTCGCGTTTCGCACTTGGAACTATTACCGGCGCATCGTCATCGCCGATATGTTTCAGCTGTCATCTCGCGATTCCACGTCTCGATATTTACGCGTGTCGCGACACCACGCGGTTGGTCCTTGAAGAAGATCGGGAGGAGAAAAACCGTTTCTCTCCGTACGAGAAACACGAACGTGAGCGCGCGTGGTATCTCCCGCTCGTTCGCTAATAAATGGTCGCGTGAACGATCAGCGCGAGTAGTTTTATTGCGAACGGCGCGGATCGCAATATCGATTGTGAGCTTAATCTGCGAAATAATTAGGATATTAAAGCGTAATTAGCGGTGTGAGAGATAATGGTGCCGCACGCGTGGAGATGTTAAATCGTCGCGCCGCCACGCCGCGATCCCTGTTCGCCGCAACGGCGATCGATCGATCGATCGAGGTTTGACACTTGACGTACGGAACAATGTTCCGCTCTGCGTCGCGTTAAAGCGTGGGTCGAAGTACGCCCGATCGAAGCCGAGAGTCTCGACTAATTAATTATCTCGGCATTCGGTAGACGATGATACAAAAGCGTTCGAATAGTTTTCATACTCCAAGACATCCCACCATTTGCTCGCGGCATCCAATATACTCTCGCCAATCCGGCCATTCCATCGAGCATAAAGATATGCCGGACTTGCGATAATGCCGGATTACTGAGAGTTTAAAATTTTATAGTAATTCATCAGGGTTTCAGTAGTTCCTTATTCTATTTAGGGTAGCCAAGTGAATAAAATATATAATTTAGAAATATGCGTGCACAATAAACGTCACTTACTGCCGCTCACATGATGTTCCGCCACTCATCTGTTCTGTCAAAATTTCCGCCAAAATATAAAAAAATTAGCCACGACAAACGGCTGGATTACTGAAGAACGGATTGGCGAGAGTTTACTGTATTAATTTCCGTGAAAGCTCACGCTCCTATTGAGATTTCAGCGAGGCGTGCAAATTTATTTCGCGATAACGCCGATCTCTAATGGTTCCCCGTGCCGATCTCGTTGCCGATTCGTCGTTTATCGATCCATCGATTCCTTTAAGTTCGCAAAAGTCTACTATTTCGCTATTAATAACTCGAGTGTCCGACAATATTTTCTTCTCCATCTGACAGAAGTGTGGCGAGAGCGATCGGCTCCCTCTATTCGTGCTCGCAATAATGATTAAAAGATGAAACACACTTATATCATCGAAGCATTATTCGTACGTATATGTGTACATAAGTGTCACTCCTCTTTCTTTTCCTTTTTTCTTTTACTGTTCCTTCCTTTCCTTCGGGCGATCTCGATCGCTATGGCAACAAATGAGTGACATGGTTCATGTGTCGGCGAATTGCAGCTTTAATGAACCGGTTATGAGCTGCATGTCACACAGATATCACAGTACTGGCTGTAGACAGTGAAATTGTTGCGTTCCCTTCTCCCCAAATTGTGACAAATTAATTGGCAACTGCCGTGAGATCTGAATCAATTTTTCGTGTAGTGACACCAAATGCTCTCTCGAAGTGTTCACAATCGTGTATCTTATTAATCGCAGACACTGAGATCGACTCATAGATTTCCATACGCGAACTTGTGGCTAACCATGAGTACGGCTTGGTATTTATATTGTATTTATAGATACAAAATTTTCGATTGGGAATCTTCTGCGACATAGATTATTAATTTACAAGCTTCGGGTATTGAATACGGAAAGTGACGAATTTATTTCTGATTTTTAAACTTTGACCGTTGTTATCCAAATGCAATTCGATTTTGACGTGAGAGATTAATTGAAAATCGGGTGTTGAATAAACGCAGTAACACAAGATCGTATTTTGTTATACCAGAGATATCACCAAATTCTTCATCGAGAGATGATTAAATAAATGATTATTAAAATGTTCTATCGTTATTTGACTTTATGTCAAATTTGTTATGCTAATTTGTCACGATTGTTAATTGCTGTTCAGTAAACGTGAAAGCGAGAGATGTGGTGTCCACGTTATGCAGAAAACTTATGGTATAAATACTATAAATAACCGAGCAACGGTAAACCTTAATCTCGTACAACAGCTGAAATCTTCTCGCGTGATTGTGTCAAATGTCACTGGAATACTGATCGTGCCATTCAAACGAGATAATCTACCTAATGTAATTCACTCGATAAGCCATTGGGCATATCTGCTTTTAGTATTTAAAAATGCAGAGAGGCGGTACCGCTTAAGAACATGTAGACTGATAAAAAATAAGAATGCATAAAGAAGCCGCATAGGCGGGTCTGCGAGAAGTTTCTTAAGTCCCGAAAAAGTCGATAAATAAAATATTTCTTACAAAACTGTAAGGTTTTTCTCTGTTCACTCTCTTAAACAATTACGGTATAACAAATATGTGAGAGAAAAGGAGAAACGGACATTTGTGTGTCACGCATAAGCAAGATTTGCCAGTACAGTTTACGTTGACGAGTTTTAGATTCTCATCCATTCTTCTGAGAAAGTAGAAAAGAGGAGCTTAAAAGCTAGACCCGGCTACGATTCTGACACTGGCAATTTTTAAAACTATTGCATATATGTCAATATACCTACGCGATGTCGTCCACCCAGAGACTTCCGTTTTTATTCCTCTTCTTCTCTTTCTCTCTCCCTCTCTCTCGATACACTTCCGTATCAAACCCTTTCCCAATTTTCCGCACCGTCGCGTCGCACCTACGGACGCATGTCAGCCAGCCGTGACAGCACGCGTCATTGCCGCTCGCCCTTATCCAGCACAGAAAACACACATCGACCACACGTTCTCCATCCACGCACTGTGTGTTACCAAACAGTACGTGATTGTCCTCGTCGCGATTGCACTAAATCGGTATCTATGTGATACACACTCGTGTCGAAAATCTCCTCCGGCAGGGGAGAAGCGCGATCATCCGTCGGGAAGGATCACAGTAGCCGAGTGTCCTTCCTATATCTTTTTGGGGTCACTACGCGGGTGCTCCTCTCGGAGGATGCTGAAGAACCACCACCGATCGCGTGCTGGATCGCTCTCGGAACTACGTCGCGCGACTTTTCGACGGTTTCCGTCAGACAAAAAGAGACGGACGGAGAGAGGGAGGGAGGGACGGACGGACAAACGGATGGACGGGAGAAACAGGAGGAAGCGCGCGGGATGATGCGAGAACGAAGAACAAGAGGACGGCGTCGTAGCTGGCTGGCTGGCTGGACCGCCGGCCGGCTCGGGGCGTGCGCTCGTGTAGCACGTGGCCGCGAGACTGAGTATCCCTACCTTAGGCACCTTCGTCAGTCCGTTTGTCTGCCTCGTCCTTATCTCACCTAGCCAGCCGAGAAAGACTACCGCGGCCTTCTCGCGACTATACGCTCCGTCGTCCTCCTCGCTCTTCGCCGACCGATCTCCCTCGCGCTGCCGTCCTTCCCACTGTCATCCTCTCGCTCCTTCCATCTGTCTATCTCTTCCGATCTTCCCCCATCTCTTTCTCCTTCTCCCTCTCGATCTTGCCTCGCCGCAGCATCCGTCTCCGCGCCGCGCCGCGCCGCGTTGGAGGCAACACGGTCCAGCTGCTTCCCTCTCGCTCGTTCGCGCGCTCGTTTCTCTCCGTCATTCCAGCTGTTCGTGTTTCGTACTTTGTCTCTCGCCGTCTATCCGCCTTACATTCGTCTCTCTTCCCCGCCATCCAGCTACAACCTGCTTCTTCTCGCGGAGGAGCCACGATTCTCCCGCGACCGGAGAGACGACACACGTATGCGCACTCCTTCTCCCTCGGTCCCATACAACAGTCCTCCTTCTCGTCCAGCGGTATTTTATGCAGATTTGCGGCACGGAATTCCGTCCCGCTCTACAATGCCGCGGTTCTCTCGAAAAATCACGGGATCATCCGTGGGCCTGATTTCGCTAAAACTGTCTAAATGTGTTGATTTATCGTCATTGCGAACGACGAAAAAAAGGAGAAGGTCGATGACAAATCAAGAAAACTCGCTATCACGTTATAGCTCTGATAAGATAATCTCAAGAAAGTTAAATAATTGAAATTGCGAAAACGAAGGTAATGGAATTGTGATACCTGCATCTCACTAAATTGATACTGTCCGAAGATTTGTAAGCCGAAAGGCAAAAGTGAACTCTCCTATAATAATTTTAGACACTCACTAATGTTCTATTAATCTCTTTATCCACGATGATAACAGTCATGTTAATAAGTAGATACATGAGAGGTAAGATTATATAATCACGGTATATAATATGTAATTTTCTAAACGTCTTCAAAATAATAGTGATAAGTTTTGAAACTTTTTATAAACGCTAGGAAATAACTGCCTCAAAATGGTGAGAGCTTCCAAAAATAGCATTTAAAAAATAAATAAAATTTTAGCTTCAGTATGTACTATATATTCTAGATTTTACTTAAATACAATAGTAACTGTTTTCTTAAACTAGACAATTTTATAAACGTATTTATCAGAATACAATGTCAACTTTACCGTCGCAAACTCATCCTATCTCTTAATATCGAGAAAATTATGTTATCACTTTGCGATGATCGTTTTCAATCTCGTTCTCCAAATCAAACTCGAAATTAAGAATGTTGCAAATTAGAGAAAATCCGTTTGCTATGTTTTGTACATTCTTGGTGAAAGATTGGACGAAATGCAGTCTTTCGGATATCAAATCGGAGAGCCGATAAGTTAGGTTGCGTAAATTGCATCGATGCAGTAAAACGAGGCGCAATAGAACATTAAACAGTGATTCATGTAACTATAGCAGTCAGCCACCTCGTAAACGTAATCGAGAAAAGCACTGTCACGTCATATACACACACACACACACACATATATGTATATGTATACTAGGATATAAACTTTATTGCTTGTGTATTTTTTTCGCGCTACATCAGCCGGCGTACTACAGGTGCGGCTTTAGCTTAGAGACTTTAGGTAAACGTAGATTAAATCACGAACTCAGCAGCGCAACTTAAATTTGCAAATGTTTGCGCTCAATTAACGATTACGAGATGTAATGAATTGAACTTTTTTTTTGTAAATCATAAAGGATTGTAAAAATACGAGTATGAATTGTTTTAATTCGAAGCAATGTAAAATCTATGAGGAAATCTGCGATTTTTTTCCCGATACAGCGACAGATTTTGTGTCGCGTTATCAAGCTAGCGTTAACTTGCTATTCCGTGAAATGATCCGATAGAATATTTAATTAGTGTATTCATTAATATAATCACGCTAATAGTGGAAAGAGGTGGATGTTGAATTCGGTCGCTAATGTCAGCATTTCAACCGATAAAATACCCGATATACGTATATTCTACTAAAAATATATAATGTTTTTATATCATATTTACATTGTGTTATTATTAAAAGAAAATATATTTAAGTACCTACTTCGAATGTATTGGATTTGCTACGAGATGAAATGAAAACGAGTGCGAGACGCGCTTTTTCCTCGGTGATTTCAATGCTCGATTGGGTCGGTGATTTCAATGCGCGCGTATAAGGCGAGTCGCGCGCTTATAGAACATCCTTGGCTACTTTCTAAGAACAAATGTGTTTCGTTTTTCGAATAATAGAAATTGAACTGTCGTGCTCATATTCGGTAAACGATAAACATATTCGGTAGTTTTCTAACTAATTAACTCACTAAATATTCGATTAAATAATCACAATGGTTATTGATTGTAACAATGATTACTATCGTCGAAAAAACAGTGACTTATAATAGCTTATTTTTCTTGTTCTTCGTGTTTGTCAAATTTATTTGAAACGTGTTTCGTATCGAACAATCGTGAAATTTATATGAATCGTTCACAGATCGCACAAACAGATTAACGCGAAAGGGACCAGCGGAGAAGTTATACGCGAGATAAGTGAACCATTCGTTTCATTATCGTGTCAACCGCACCGCAGTACTCTATCCTCACGGTGCAATCGTTCATCCTGCTTCACCTTAAAGACGAGACAAATCACGCGCCGTTCTCTATCGTCGTTGCCGCGCGGAATAATGCCGGAGAGGGCCCTGTTGCGGAGTAGGAGGTACCTCATCGGCGACCAATAGTAAGAGCCGCCACCCACGAAGTAATAAAAATTAATTTATCACACGGATCACCGCCTACGCCATTGCTCCGTTCGCGCACGCGAAATTCCGCAGCATCCCACGGATAGCGCCACTTGTCGGGTGTTCCTTTCACAGCACAGCACAGTCTTCGACACGAATGCCGGATTAAAGCAATCGGCATCGTGTACAAATTTACGTTAAAGATATAATTTAATTTTTAAACAAAAATTGATTAAAATTACATGATATTTTCGTTTGTAATAATAATCATTAATAATATTCCTAAATGCTATATCTAATTATTGAAGGATTGAAGAATACATATATGATAATTAAGTTCACTTATATATCACGCATTATACATATAAATATTATATATTAATTTGAAATTTTCGGAAAGTTTCAGAAAGTTTCAGAACATTAAAGATTTAAAAGGATAACTGTTATCTTACTTTGCCATTTTATGTCGAGTTAGACTTGGTGTATTGACTTACAATAATTTTTCGTATTGCGATAGTTTTTGGGTAAGTATTTCGCGTGTAATTTTAATTATTAGAAAACTATATTGTTACAATTTGCTTAGAAATTGTTTCAAATAATAGTATTTTTTTACTTATATTAAATTGAGAGAGAGATAGAGAACGAACGACTTGACGTTCGTTTATTTATAAGAAACAATTTGAATTGTAAAAGATTAGGAAAAGGAAAGAAGAATGAAAGAGCTATAGTTGCGTCCTAGATGGCAGCAGATTCCAGTTAAGAGTTTGGATACACGAAACTATTTTTGTATTTAAAACAATATTTTAAATATCCACGTTATTTATACGTCATAATATTTAAATATTATAAAATACAAGCCAACACGAATACATTTGTTATATATTTTTAAATCGTTATTAAAAACGATAATTTAATTATATCGATTAAGTCATTATTAGTATAGAAATATTCTTTCTTTATTATCAATTGCATATTTTTCTTTTATCAAATGGTAATGAAATATCGTTATCTTATGTTGCAATAAAATATTTTTTCGCAATAAATTTATAATAGAATATTTAGACACTACCATCCTGTCACGGCTCTGAGTCCTTTAAAATCTTTGAAAATATTTTTATTTTATATCGAAAGAATACGATATTAAAGGTGAAAGAGACTTGTGAGGACGTGAAAATTTTATGTATGTATAAGAGACCCTCCACCAACACCGAATCCTTATTGGCGGTCCTCTTTTCTTTCCAATAATTGCATTTATATATTTTTATCATTAATCTTTTTTTACCATTTAATTTGCATTATTATACATACATATGTATACAATGTATGAATCTTAGCTGCTGCGCCGGCCCTTCTACCATGAGAGATGGATTACCGATTGCAACTTTAGTTCACTGAACGGCACAAGAGGGCAGCTACTTAGATCTCAGGGATGTTGCAGGCAAGTCGAAAACTTGTTCCACTTACAGACATCACGCGGAGAAAAATAATTTGCTAACACAATTGTATATCTTATGTAAACTTAAGTAAATTTTGTCTGTTATTTTATGATAAAGTTATTTTTTCTTCTATGGACAACTATGTGTTAAGAACACTAATTTTATTGAAAAATTATTGTGCGAAATATTTAGCTAAAGAAATAAAATAATTTCTGTTCTATTAAACGTTCTGCCGTAATGTATAATGAAGTATAAATTTATAATTTTTACTCCTAATAGTGTTGTCAAATTTGACAGCCTCACTCGACAGGAAATTGTTCTCCAGCTGTTAACATTCTGTGAGCAAATAGTTGGCCGGGAAGCTGGAACAAAAAATTAATTCAAAGAAAGAATCGGTCTAACATCTACAATTACAAAAAGGACACAGGATACATAAACTCTTAATTAATGAGAATATTACCTACTTATCTGATATACATATATTTGTCTATTTCCCATTTATTCCTTTCCACCTTCCTTCTTTATGCTTTCCCTGGTAAAAATTCCGTTAGAAACAGATAGAATTTAATGCATATTCTATCCGTTTCTAACGGAATTTTTACCAGGGTTTCTTTATTTTTCACAGGTTTCATTCCTCGGTTGACAAAAACTTCTTCACCTTGTACGGGTTACACATTCTTCGATTGACGAGTCAAAACGCGACTCCGCAAACTTATGGACTTACTACTTCGACAGTGTGTGACTAATCCTCAAAAATTAAAAATATGTTGCATAGGGATTTTAGTTGGTACCAATATTTTCCCATCTAGT